ACCCCCTTTTCTGCAAGGACGACAACAAAGGGAACCCCGGACACGCAACGCAAGTACCTTATTTATATTGAAAAGAGAAGTATCTTGTGTTTTGTGCTTACAAGTTAATGTCTTAAACTGCCGATCTTGTTACTGTGCTAATAAATAGTGTTTTCACTATACTTTGGATATTAATATCCATTGCAGAATTGATGACATACGGCTCGTTCAATGAATCGCTGGCCGTCTCAGTGATCAGCCGTAAAACAGTGATTCTGTCCAAATTCCCTTTAAAATCTTAAATGATTCCCTTTGAGCTAAATTGACCTGTTTCCCTTACAACTTCCATTATATGACTGACAGACTGCAACGGTTTGAGTTAAAAATCTTCGTTTGTGTTCTACTGAAGAAACAAAGTCACCTACATCTTGGATGCCCTGGGGGTAAGCAGATAAACATCAAATTTTCATTTTTGGGTGAACTATCCCTTTAATGTTAGTCTTTAAAGGCAATTCAATAATTTAATAACGTATGATTAAGAAATGTAATCTTTAGAAAATGTTAAAATGTACTAATGTACCTACTGTACATTAGAATGTTGTGATGCCTGAAATCATGTGTAGCATTGTGTAGCATAGCATTCATATGAATTTTGTTAGTGTTTTCATTTTCATTTATTTTGAACAAATAGTATAGTATTTTAATCAACCATAACAAAAAAAGTAATATTGGCCATAATATGACATTAAAGGGATAGGTCACCCAAAAAAATGAAAATTCAGACATTATTTACTTACCCTGATGTTATTCCAAACCTGTATGATTGCAATGTGGCATGTTTGAATATGCAGAAATGCAAATGAGAACTACACTGGAGGAGAAGCATTTCAGTAAATATCTGTTCTTCACAAAAAGTTGAATAAACAAGTCGAATGGTGTACTTTTATGAAACTTATGAAAAATCACACAGGTCTGGATCAACATGAGGATGAGTAAGTGATAGAATTTCAATTTTGGGGTGAAAGCTCTTGAACCCCTTACACAATCCTCTAATCATTGTCAAGTAAGTTATCATTGTTCATTACTCAAGTAAATATACAAAGACCCAGTGTACTCTTAGGATAATAATCATAATATAATTTAATTAGGTTTGATGAAGAGTCGATAGCTCATATTAAGGATTTGGTCTATCAAGCATTATTTGATAGAATCGCTGGTCTACAGAGAATCCTTTGTATGAGCAGCAGTCGTTCCTCTACAAAAATGTACTGCAACCCTCCCCTTTAGAGATTCTGCCCTCAGGCAATCAATATGCTCTTAGGGCTAATTTGCATGCTGAGTGTTCTTCACTTAAGGTATATTTTTCAGCGCAAATTGAGTTTCTGAAGCATAACGAGGTCAAGCATTGTGTAGGCTAAGCTTGGAATACAAATTACAAAAAGAGTACTGTGACGAGTGGGGGCGGGGCCGAGAGCCGTGGGAACGGAGCGAGGCCGGTGGAGTAATTGATAATGAGCGACACCTGCACCACTCACCGGTCTCGAGTCTCACGGAGGAGCTCCGGAAGGATAAAAGGGAGGAGTGACGACCGTGTCGGACGAGAGAGGACCAGGCCTGGAGTTTATTTTGTATTTTGGTTTCTTTTGTGCGCGACAGTCGTCCGCGAGGGGCTGTCGCGCTATTTTGGGTTTGTTTATTTTATTAAAGTTTGTTTAAATGTCCGCCGGTTCCCGCCTCCTTCTTCCCGTGACTACGAACTTTGTTACATTGGTGCCGAAACCCGGGAGGAAGGAGGGACATGCTGCCAGAGATCCCTCGCCGCTGTGGTGAGTCCGCGGTGCCATCGAGCATGGCGGAGCAGTCTGCCGCCATGGACGCTCGAGGCGGTGGGCTGGAGTGAGTTGCCGGGGGGTCGTCCGCGAGGGGCTGTCGCGCTATTTTGTGTTTATTTTATTATTAAAGTTTCTTTGAATGTTCACCGGTTCCCGCCTCCTTCTTCCCGATCTACAAACTACGTTACAAGTACATAGATAAGGAGCTATTTATAATCAGACAGAGGGGTGCTTTGTAGAGAGTAATGCATGTGTGCTTTGAATTTATGTCACTGAAAAACAAGCTAGTGAAGAACTATAGTTGTCATATAGTTACTTCTCCTTGTTACATCATAGTAGTTACCATTAGTGTGGTTTAATTGCTGTAACGGTTTTCAGATGTAATATTATAAGGATGTGCGAAACATATTTCGGGGGCTGTCTGAATGATTAGTCGACTAGTTGGTTTTAAAGGGATACCAGAATGGGATAGATCACATGACTTTGTATGACATGTTTTCTTCTGCAGAACACAAAAGAAGGCATTAGGCGGGGAAAAAAACACTTTTGGTTATCTATTGTATGGGGGAAAACTGTGAAAATATGCATTTCTCAAAATATCTTCTTTTATGTTCCATAGTCCAAGTTCTGAGTCATACAGGTTTGGAAAGACATGAGGGTGAGTAAATGATGACCGTATTTTTTTATAGTTATGAACTGATGTAAAACAGGGTTTAAATTGATTCACAAAAAAATTAATTTAACTTACTATTCCAATCCTTGTCAAGAGGAAATGTGCTTAATTGTAATAAACGGGCAATTGTTGTCTACTTCAAATATTAAAAGCATAATTTTACAGAACTGTACTTGGACATAATATAATATTAATGAAATAAAGGCTACTTAAGTGTGCTTTAAACTATAATACATTATCATTTAATTGTAGATAAGTGTCCGAAACCATAACATTCAGTTCACACCTAAGTAGATTATTTCTGTAACAAGCACTCTTTTCAAAAGTATGCTATAGTGTACTTCTTTATAGGGGTACATATAGGGTATATTACCACTATTTCTTTTCCATTGAAGTTTAAAAAAAAAACATCTTAGCACTCTCATATTTTCAAGGCAAGGAAGGACTGTGAATCTAGTCCAATGACACACTCTTTAGGAAAACTGATGATCAAATAAAAAGCTCATTCATTGTAATAATCACACTGTACAGTAGCTTAACTTTATGTTGGCAGTAAAATGTATTGTGAATATTCGATATATGACCCTGATCTAGTCTGTTGTTCCAACTCATCCCTGGTATATTATTTCAAGAGATTATTGAGCTTTACTAAGGATGCTAGGTTAATTTTCCGACACCTACTGCTCATTATACGAACTTTAACCATTAACTGATAAGATTAGAATATTAAATTGGAACTTGTGAGATTGCGATGAATTAAGAAGAGTGACAGCTTTTTAGTGATTATAAGGGGAGCACTCTTTGCGCGCTTTCTATGCTATAATCCATTCAGAATTTGAATACATTCACTCACGGATTCACTCTCTGATAATTAACCAGTTATCCAAACCTAAAAAAAACCTTTAAAAATACCTTTCAAACGGTTCAAATGATAGTATTAATCGGTCAAAGTTCTTACATTCGGTTAGTGGTTAAACAGTCAATATGAGCATCCCTAAGCTTTACTTTTACTCATATTACAATATTTAGTAATCACATTAATTTTAATGTGTCCTTGTTGCACTACTATAGTAATAACAGTAAATTATGCATAATTACAAGTAACTAACACTACACAAAATTCAGTAACACTTTATTTTAAGGTGTCCTTGCTACACGTTACATGTACTTACTATTATAATAACAACTAATTATGCCAAACCCAAATCCTAACCCTAACCATACAGTAAGCACATGTAGTTAATTGATACTACTCAGTACTTATATGTATAATTACACTGCACCAAGGACATCTTAAAATAAAGTGTAACTCAAAATTCCTAATCCTAAACCTATAGCAAGTACACGCTGTTAATAATATTGTTCAGTACTTGTGTAATTACACTGCAACAAGGAAACATTCAAATAAAGTGTGACCAAGCGACAACCTTCCGGTCTCTCTCGTGAAACCAACACGGAAGTGACTAAAACTGCAATTCATCGACTGGCCGCTAGAGGCTGGCTCCAAAAGGGAGTCAATCCCATAGACTCCCCATGATAAAATGCCCAAATTTACAGCGGAAAAAAATATGTTTACAGCATGGTACAAAAAGTGGTTTTGGTCTATATAGCTAATTTTGCCCTTCATGACAACTGTGAGGGGGGTGAATTTTTTTTATAACTCATCCGTTTAAATTATATTAAGCCTTAAAGTTCTGCATAATTAAGGGCGTGGCCACTTGAGTGACAGGTGGATTGCTGCTGCTGTCACCACCGTCGAGCTAGGTGGGCGTGGTTTCAGCAACCGCCTCTTTGCCCATTTTCGATTTTCCGGGAGTGACGCGCGGTGACACGCTGCCAATACGGCGACGGCCGGCTCCGCCTACTTTAGGCTTCAAAAACGCTCTTCGGAAACCTACGGGTGACGTCACTGATACTACGTCCATGTTTTTATACAGTCTATGAGTGTGACGCAATATTTTATTAAGGCCTATATACACATGGAAAAAGCTGCAGATTTGAATCTGAGTAATGAGTAAACATCTGCTTACCTTTCTTGAGTTTGCGCACGGCGAGCATGCAATGGCTGGGGGACAGATCCCATATGCGGAGGGTCTTATCGTCACTCACAGTGGCACACAGTGGCAGATGCGGGTGAGTGGCAAGACCCCAGACCTCGCCCTCCATGTGACCCTAAATACAGTCCACACACACACACACACTATTTAATATATGCTGCTAACACATTAACATAACTGTCATTTCAGCACAAACACATCTACTTTATTATGCTCATGACAGACTGTAAAATTAGCAAATAACATCACGCTTTTACCACCTGAGAAGTTTTATTTAAAGGAGTACATCTACATTTTTCTAGTGAGCATGGTGGCAGTAATTTATAAAAAATAATGGAGAAGACCATTATAACTGGGCATATATCCAGACACATGGTGTTAGAGAGCTGATTCAGGAGTCTGGAACACAGTGATGGAGTGATGCTGTACAGTCCCAGTATGTCAAATCATGGTAGTCTGCCATATCCTCCACAATTTCTTTGCGGGTATACCTGATTTGTTTTTTGTTTTTTTGAGTGAATCAGATGCTAAAATAATCCACATGCAAATAAATAATACTGTCAGCATGCACAATTAATTTTTAGAGAATATCCCCTCAGTTTATTCTCCATAAACTGATGCACCCAAAGGATCCATAAAAGCTTTTCCGCAAAAGCATTTCAGAGTGCAATAAATGAGAATTCAATCAAGCTTAATTTTTTTCTAGCAGCAAGTAGGACCTATAAAAATCTATATATGACTAAGTGCATTTACTTGCTTAATGTACACTGAACAAAATTATAAACGCAACACTTTTGTTTTTGCCCCCATTTTTCATGAGCTGAACTCAAAGATCTAAGACTTTTTCTATGTACACAAAAGGCCTATTTCTCTCAAATATTGTTCACAAATCTGTCTAAATCTGTGTTAGTGAGCACTTCTCCTTTGCCGAGATAATCCATCCACCTCACAGGTGTGGCATATCAAGATGCTGATTAGACAGCATGATTATTGCACAGGTGTGCCTTAGGCTGGCCACAATAAAAGGCCACTCTAAAATGTACAGTTTTACTGTATTGAGGGTCCGGGGGGGTGGGGCCGAAAACCAGTCAGTGTGTGACCACCATTTGCCTCACGCAGTGCAACACATCTCCTTCGCATAGAGTTGATGAGGTTTTTGATTGTGGCCTGTGGAATGTTGGTCCACTCCTCTTCAATGGCTGTGCGAAGTTGCTGGATATTGGCAGGGACTCGCTGTCGTATACGCAGATCCAGAGCATCCCAAACATGCTCAATGGGTGACATGTCCGGTGAGTATGCTGGCCATGCAAGAACTGGGATGTTTTCAGCTTCCAGGAATTGTGTACAGATCCTTGCAACATGGGGCCATGCATTATCATGCTCCAACATGAGGTGATGGTCGTGGATGAATGGCACAACAATGGGCCTCAGGATCTCGTCACGGTATCTCTGTGCATTCAAAATGCCATCAATAAAATGCACCTGTGTTCGTTGTCCATAACATACGCCTGCCCATACCATAACCCCACCGCCACCATGGGCCACTCGATCCACAACGTTGACATCAGCAAACCGCTCACCCACACGACGCCATACACGCTGTCTGCCATCTGCCCTGTACAGTGAAAACCGGGATTCATCCGTGAAGAGAACACCTCTCCAAAGTGCCAGACGCCATCGAATGTGAGCATTTGCCCACTCAAGTCAGTTAAGACGATGAACTGCAGTCAGGTCGAGACCCCGATGAGGACGACGAGCATGCAGATGAGCTTCCCTGAGACGGTTTCTGACAGTTTGTGCAGAAATTCTTTGGTTATGCAAACCGATTGTTGCAGCAGCTGTCCGGGTGGCTGGTCTCAGACGATCTTGGAGGTGAAGATGCTGGATGTGGAGGTCCTGGGCTGGTGTGGTTACACGTGGTCTGCGGTTGTGAGGCCGGTTGGATGTACTGCCAAATTCTCTGAAACGCCTTTGGAGACAGCTTATGGTAGAGAAATGAACATTAAATTCACGGGCAACAGCTCTGGTTACAGCTGTTCCCTCAGGACAGTGCAACAGTGAAAAGGGACCCCTTTCAAACAGTGTCGCGTTCCGAACGTTGTTTAAGCAACATACACTTGGGGTTTCATTAAATTATCAGGGTCATTTACAGGTGCTGCTATACGGAAAAAGAGTTTTTAAAAAGTAGATTTGTATTTCTAGAAGAAAATACCACTGTTTACAACAAAATGGAGAAAAGAGTTTTAAAAAAAAAATCAAGTACAGGTAGTAGGAGACGGGTATATGCAATACATGTGGTTAATTAGATGTATTTTGCACAATTTTGTATTCAAACAGGCAGAACACCTTTCACAGTATGCAAATATTACAATTATTACAATAATTGCTGTAATCTCAATTTTAAATAAAACATTCTAACAATGTAAGTGAAAGGGCGATATTAATTTAATTGAATTTAATTGGATTTAAAATGTAAATAAATTCTCTGTTTCTTAAAAAGTATGACAAAAACAGATGGCATACTCAAGACTGAAATTTCTAAAAGTCTGTTCTAAACAGCTGAAGAAGATTAAATGGTTCAAACTAAATTATACGGAAAGACAGGTTTGCCCATTCAAAACTCAAAAAACCTAATCTAAACATTATGAAAAGATGCCTTGAAACCACTGTATATATTAGAAAAAAATTACTATACTAATAGGATTCGGTATAAACCATAAACCATAAATCAACCAATGAAACATCAATCTTCTAAAGAAGGTTTCAATAGAGTTTTATTTTCTCTTGCAAAGATCATTATGCCTCAGATTTAAAGGCCTACTGTGTTGTGACTTGAATAGATGAACTGTTATGGGGATTGAACTTTTTTTTTTAAATGGTTGTGTAATACATATTACGAGCTCACTGTCACAGTCAACTGAAGTTGGTATTGTCAGACATATCAAAGAGGCTTTTTTAAATATGACGAATAAATAAGACTGCATGCATACCTTGCACAAGGTATGTGCAGACATTAATCATGCATTATAAAACAGATAGTTCCGGTACTTGTCTAATGATTGGCTGAGTTGTTCAAAGTTGTAAAATACTCTTTCAACACACACCTGTGACCTATAAACACCAGTATTACTGCGCCACTGCATCTGTTTCTTGCTGCTTCTGTGTTCTTATTCAGCTAAACATTGCTGAAGAACTCCGTGTCAAATGACAAATTAACACATGAACACATGACAAATGAAAACATTATGTGTTTTTATGTGGGCTCAAAATAGCAAACATGTTTGATCTCCTCTGACTGGAGGGAATCATAGCCTGATGCTAAAAGTGACCATCATACACTACGTGATTTTCTATTAAATCCATCAACTTAAATCTGCAGAGTTGTCTGACTTTCGGCAGCTAGCGCCAACTTGTCCTGACTGTAAATCGGGGCAAAAATCTGGGCAAAAGTCAGGTACTGTATTTCAGCCTTTTAGACCAGTAAGTAACCTGGCAACCATCCAGAACACCCTAATAATTAAATAGCAAAACTCTATTTAATTTCTCATGAAATTCTAGTTCTTTTTTAAATGAAGCAATCAAAAACATCACATCATTCTTAAACTGCAATTCAGTCAATCGTTGTATTCAAGTTTTGAATTTTATTCATATGATTACTTACACGCATGATTGAAGTGACTGAGAAATTGCCCTTTTTAAACGTGTAATTCACGACTAAGACACCCATCCTAAACTAATTTCTGCATTCATGTAGGTTCACATCCAGGGATGCAAAGTTTATGTAACATGACAGGCAGCTTGAGGGTAAGACTTGAAAAGACCTGTTTAATGAATCAACAAGACCAACCGAAATAAATCCTTCAGCCCTTGTCTTATTTCTCAGAGTGTCCCAAAATTTTCATGTCTCATGGCTTGTCAAGCAAATCTGACAGCTGAATCTGTGCTTTACCTGAACCAGAAGAGTTATGGGCCCATTTTTTTCCACCTCCAGAATCTCTCCGTTCTTTGTTCCTACAAGAATATGCCCATGACCCAAAGATATGGCACGAATGGAGGGGTTGTCCTCTAACAGCAAACCTGCAGGAAGGGACGTGTTATAAATAAACACACATCCATGACCTCGGCTTTCTATTTAATAAACACACCGAATGTTTTTAGAGAATGCATGCAGGTATTTGACCTGAATGGCTTTAATCGCGTAAGTTATTCACACTGATAGATAGATAGATAGATAGATAGAAGCCGAATAACTGTTCAATTATTATCCAATATTACTATAATTATTATAAAATTAATATTATTTTCACAGTGTACGAGGTGTCTCATCTGTGATATCTAAATTGTCTTTGAAATAATGCAAGGGATGTCCTCACCTTTGGAGCCTGGGGCCAGCACCGCTCGTTTTATGGCATACGTCTTGAGGCATCTCTCAAACGTATCGTCCCACAAAGCCACTATTCCATCCTTTCCACCAGTAACAAAACCCTTAGCAACAATACATTCACATTATATTTCGGAAATATTTAAAGGGATAGTAACTCCATGCTGTTTCCTATTTGAAGCTAAATCTGATACCTTCTCCAGGGCGTGCATGCTAAACATCGGCCCATCATGAGCTTTGACGGTTTTCACCAGGAACATATCTCTCCAGATGCAGATGTCACCCGTGCAGGTTCCTGAGAACACCATTTCTTCCGTCCAGCCGTACACTGCGCACATCATGGTTTCAGTTTTTCCCATGCTGCCCTTCTTCCCAATCAGTCCACCACCTGAGAACAGCAAAGGTTTGTGAGGTGATCTCTGGCAGTAGAAGTGTACAGTCATTTACATACTCCACAAGAGGTTCACAAGATGTCCACATGAATCCGGATAAATTTGAAAACACATCTTTTCCTCTAAGTTTTGGCCTTTTGTCCACACTAAGACATCGTCCAGCAAAAACTGACCTTTTTGAAGATGCTCTTCCAAGTGGACATGTTGTAGTGTGGACTGTAAAAACAAGACGTATTCAAAAACGATGATGCATATATATATCTATGTTTGTACCACAGTGTTGTGCTTGTTATTCACTTTGCCAAAGATAATATTGCTAAAGATAAGCGTTACTTTGTAGAATCTTCTTATTACATTCTGCAAAGTTGACACAATATTTATACTGAACAAAATTATAAACGCAACACTTTTGTTTTTGCCCCCATTTTTCATGAGCTGAAGTCAAAGATCTAAGACTTTTTCTATGTACACAAAAGGCCTATTTCTCTCAAATATTGTTCACAAATCTGTCTAAATCTGTGTTAGTGAGCACTTCTCCTTTGCCAAGACAATCCATCCACCTCACAGGTGTGGCATACCAAGATGCTGATTAGACAGCATGATCATTGCACAGGTGTGCCTTAGGCTGGCAACAATAAAAGGCCACTCTAAAAAAAGTCTTAGATCTTTGAGTTCAGCTCATGAAAAATGGGGGCAAAAACAAAAGTGTTGCGTTTATAATTTTGTTCAGTGTACTTGCAATTGCTGCCCTGTGGCAAAAGATGATGACAGTTGCATTTTAGTGTAAGTTTACACGACAATGATATGCTAAAAATTGTTAAGTTTTACAGATGACAATGTTGTCAAAAGTATCCTGTTCACATGGATTTGTAAAAACGACTTAAAATGCTGTATTATGCATGCCAGGCCAGTAGTTGGCGATGTCACGCAAACACGTAATATGTATGCGCACGACATCGTCTTTTTCACAAATTTGTGTTCTTGTAGTTTACACAGAGACGATAACAGTATAGTTTTCAAAAACATGCACTTTGAAACCCATTTTCAAAAGTTTGCATTTTCAGGCCAAAAAATGTTGTTGTCGTAAACGAATGGTTAAAATACATAAAACATTTTTTACGTTTTTAGGTGAAAAATGTGTTGTGTAGACGCCCCCCTAAGACCATACATGGAATGCCGATTTTGAGTGCGACTTGTGTCATTGTGAATGAGCAACCTTTGGAAAATTCTTAAAAACTCTGTGGACGGAGAACGTTTTTAAACGAAAGCATCATTTTCAAATATATCCAGATTAATGCGGACATAGCCATAGTCTTACCTGCTCTATGCCAAAACTTCATGTGTTTCACTCCAGCGGTTATCAGTTTGTCTGGCATGTACGGGTTGATTTTAATGACAAATATTTTGTCTTTACTTCCCCTTTAAATAAAAAACAGAGACATGTACATTGTTACATGTATTTGGGATTCTTTTGCTGATACCAAAAAGGTTGAATTGAACAGCCTTCAATCTTTTTTAAGAGTTTAAAGGTTCGCAATAGGCACTGTAGGGCTGTAATTGACCTGTCTGCTGTGCTGTTTCCACTGTCTGAGTGCCGGTGGTGAATTTAGCAGTGCAGGGGACAGTGGCTGTCTGCGGTTTTGCATTAGGCCCGATGTGGAGTGGGCAGAGCACAGAGCAGTAACTGCACTGTCAGGCCCTATTTACTTGCACCCGCACAAGCATCCTCTCTACCAGAGAAAGCCCCAGGGAGGAGTCGGCTAGAGCTCTACACTACCTATGAACTCAAGAGCATCCAGACAGGGGAATACAAACGCTTCAGACTGTAAGAAGAGGTATACGCTCTTCGAAACCTTGCTATATTACAGCAATAAACCAGGAGAGGATATACATTACAGAGTAAAGAGCTGTAGTTGGATGAAATGGTAGCAACAGCTGTTTTATACTAGATTTCAACATTTTCTGAAGAAATTCTAAGTCGTTGCCACCACATTCCAATGAGGTTGTGGATGCTTGCTAGAGCTTTTCTGTGTAATGCTTAGGGTTAGAGGGTTTACATGTTAATAATAATAATAATAATAATAATAATAATAATAGTTTTGAACATGGTTTATCTAGATTTTAAAGACAGAACTTGTGTAGGCAAATTTTAAGGGTTTCTACAATATTAAGACTGTGTGGGATTTTAAAAGCCAGTTTCAAAACACACAAAAAGTCTAATATAAGCACTATAGAGATGCAACACCAATACTGCCATTTAAATGAACACAATACACCAGATAAATAAATTAATAAATAAAACTTTAATTAACATCTAGCACAGTATGTTGTGATACAAGGATAAAACAATCCCTTAGTTGCCATGAACCAGCCGTATCAAGAAAAATCACTCCTTAGGGAGAGAAAAGGGCAGCAGTGGGTTTCACGAATCTCTCCTTAGATAATGATCATGCTGAGACAGAGACTGCAGGATAAACAGGCTAATGTCGTGAAGAAGTGTTGAGACACTAATCTGCTAAAATGGACTGATGCCAATATATTTTAGATGACATATATAAACATGACAAAAGAATAAAGTTTATCTGGGAAAAAGTATTTCAAAGAATTAAAAAGTGTCATAAAAACTTTGGTTGCTCGGTGAAGAAAGCACAACATTTCTTTTAAATCCCCAAGAAATAGTTTGACGAATGCAATTTACTTTTAATATATTCCTACTGAAACAGAAAGTTAAGATGGGAGATATCAAACTACTTTTTTTTAAATAGCCATTAGGGGTTTAGTTTACACCACAGCTTGGAGAAAAAAAAACTTAATTCACTTCTAGTTATTGCTAGTCAATCATATAGGTAATATTGGAAGAGGAAATTCATTCTAGACATTATTTTATTGGACAGAAATTTGTAAGTCATCAATATTTTTTATCCATTTTTTTCTGTAAGATAATTACTGTGACTTTCACATGCTTATTGTCACGCTCTTAGGAAATAAGCGCACGAAGACGAAGGTAATCCAAATAACATTTAAAGGTGCTGTATGTAAGTTTTTGACTCTACTAAAGCATAAAAATACCATAATATGTTTGCAGATATTTAAGAAACATGCTAAGTTAACATATTTGTTTATCTGAAAAACAATGCTACAGTCAGTTATTCTCCTTTGAAAATGTGCATTCCGGGCCGGAATGTCGGTCTCTGTTTTGGTTTGTGAAACCCGCCCACTGACAGTTTACCCAATTGTATTTCGACACCTCGGGTTGCCAGTTGGCGGGCAACACAGCGTATTTCATTTCAGTCATAGAAGCTGGCAAACGAAAGGGGTCAGAGCGGGAAATAGAACTTTCTGCCCATCCTAAAAAGCCTCGACATCCATCCAAAAAACTTTATCAACAACGGTATAAAAAAAACAGAATAAATATTGGAGATGCATTTGAGAGATGGAGAAACGCTCATTCCTGTTGGTGTCGTCAATCTGGCAACCTGCGTGTGCGTCAAGTCTGAGGAGGTGGGACCGGGTGAAAAAAAACCCTCTCCAATATTTTGAATTTGGACCGCAATACCTAGTTCAACCACTCTGTGTCAATCCTACATACAACACCTTTAATAGTAATCCAACATGATGAAGATTCATACAAAACACAAGGTAACACAAGCAGCATACACAACTAATAACCGGCAGCTAACTGAACTGAAAGGGGAACTTGAGTAGGGTGAGATAACGAGGGACAGACAGGTGAGGATGATAACTAATCAAACACAGGAGAACTGAATGAACTAATCAAAGGGCGACAGAAACTAAATGAAAACACAAAAGAAGTTAATGACTGTGACACTTAAGGCCCGGGTATACTTCACATTCGTCTCGCGCACAGCCGCGTCCGCACAGCTTTCAAAGTATACTCAACTGCGGATGAGCACGGACAGACGAGCTCGACACATGCGCAGTACCACTTACTCTGTCTCAACATTCACCTCGCGCATGCGCTATTGTATGCGCACCGTCCGTGCGGTCTCAAAAAATTGCCTGCACGCGGATGGGGTGCGCGGTTGTCCGCGAGCCCTCTTGATGACGAAAATGACGTAATGCGGACGGTGCGCGGACGCGGACGGGCGAAGTATACTTTGGCCTTTATATCTGCCAAAAGTGTATTCAGTCAGCTTATAGGAGCACACTACCACATAATTTGCCCTAAGCTAAAAATCATGGACTACAACTTTGAAGAAGCAAAACAGGTCTTATTCACTCACCGGATGGTGGAGAGCTTCTCTCCTTTTCTCCATTCCCAAAGGACGATGGTATGATTGTCATCCAGACCCACCGAAGCCAGCCTCTTCCCATCCGCTGCAGAGACAGACATCATACGGCTCTGATTACACTCAACATCAGCCAAATAATGCCATGTATATCATGTAATGACTTTATACAATCTCCACCCTACTAACAATAAAACAAGATGTCTCAAGTAATACAATGTGACAGGTAACAAAGGCATCGCTCCAGTGGAAATTTCAGTTGGATCATTTATGTTTAGGCCAGTGACTAAAACAGATTGTAGGAGGCTCTGCTGTTTTTGCTTTGTCAAGTGAAGCTCTTCTACACACCTTTGATTTTAAACCGGAAATATGCCTAGTTTAACACAAATTGTAGATAGTCTGTTTACAGAGAGCATTTCAGCAATTTCAGAATTACCCACACCACTATAAACAAATTAATTAATTAATAATTGCTGGTTTGACATGTTAGCCACACGGTCTCTTAAATGGGTATAAATGGGTAATTCTTAGCAAGAATGAGCTGCAAAATGGTCAAAATTGTGTGGCATAATCAAACGTGTATGTGCAAGACTTAACAGGCCTTCCTGTAGCTTAAAAAGTAACACAAAGAGCTTTCAAGTGCCAGGGTCATGGGTTCAATTCCCAAGTAATGCAATAACTAATAGAAATGTATATACCTTAAATGCAATGTAAGTCACTTTGGATAAAAGCATCTGCCAAATGCATAAATATAATAGAGATCGGAATATAGAGAACCTGCTCAGATAAGTTTGCTATGAAATCTGCTGTTACAAATCCCTGTTGCAGACAGATAAAATGTGTTCTGAGTGTCAAACAGTTCATCCCCCACTGTTAAGATAATAATAATAACAAATAAAACTTTTATTTTTAGCAGAACTTGATTCTACAATATATTCTACTCAAAGTACATACACACACACACACACACACAAAAGGTGACTGACCTATTTCTTTTCCAGACTGGAAATACTATGCTATTCATACTTTGATTCATGGATACTTTGACACCATGAGTCATACTATTTTAGATGTGTCAGAATGTGGAGTTATTTGATCATGTTAGTATTTGAAAGATCCTTTTAATCTCCAAGGGACTTCGTTTTGTACAATACTTTGGCTCTTTGCTCCACTTCACAAGTTTTCACTTCATAATAGAAGAATATACACTATCATTCAAACGTTGTTTTTTAAGGAAATTTATAACTATTTTTATTGATGATGCATTAAATTGACAAGATATATGTTACACTGACATGAAAGTTGAAATCTTTAATCAACTTCCTAACCAACAGTATTAGTTATGTTTGCCACTAATAATCAGGATACCAGACTTGACCCCAGGAATGGGTTTTTATCACTATAGTAATCATTAACACTACTAATTAACTAAGTACTAATTACAGTTGCCAACTTCAGAAAAGGAAAATACGGGAAAATCATGGTTTATAAGGGACATAAATACATACATACATACATACATACTGTATATACGTGTGTGTGTGTGTGTGTGTGTGTGTGTGTGTGTGTGTGCGTGCGTTTGTGTATGTGTGTGACATATGAGGACACAAATTTGTATAATGACATGGGTATGACATAGTTATTACAAGGAGAAGGTGATTTATGAGGACAATGCCCCATGTCCCCATATTTCAAAAGGCTTATAAATCATACAGAATGAGTTTTTTTGAGATTATAAAAATGCACAAAGTTTCCTGTAAGGGGTAGGTTTAGGTGTAGGGCAATAG